CAAATGCGCTTTACACAATTGATGTGTGTATGGATTGTGATAAGAGTTGTATGAGCCCCTAATAAAATGATTTTTTTTAAAAAATCCTAGCCTGTACAATATTGACCCATGCAGAATTGTTGGTGCTTTGTCTTATGTGTGTTTGAATTGGCTAGTAGTTAGTTTTACATGAAAATCTCGAATTTTAGCTTTTCCTTGAAAAATCTGAACAGGTGGTTGCATTGGGCCATCGGCTGGAGCTGAGAATTTTCCGTTGCTCCTTTATGGGCCCGGCTTGTTTCACTCATTCTCTAGACCTGATTACGTGGCATTGAGCTTCACTGCCTTGCCTTAGATTTCCATGGAGACGCAGACACTTGCTGGTCATGTCACCCCGGGGTCCGTGCCTCAAAGATCTCTGTAATGGTTTTTGCCATTCTTGCTCCCAAGGGTTTCTGTGCAAATGCTTAGAACTTTAAAAGATACAGCAATATCATTTGTTCTCTATTGGTAATTGGGTGGTGACTCCCTAAAACCAAGTTTACTGCCGCCCAGTCGCTGCCGACTGATAGCAAGCCTGTGGGACAGGGTAGAGAGGTCCTGGGTTTCAGAGACTGTAATGCTTGACAAAAGTAGAAAGCCCGGTCTCTCCAGCTGGATAACTAGCCGTGTAAAAAAGATTTAGTCTCAAAATGTAAACTCTTTCTCCTAATGAATCTACTTCTCTTAAAAGAATACTTTGAAAGATTACGTAAGTTTTTACGAAGTTGTTCTGACTACAAATGTTATTAATAGAGATGTGTTAATTTAACTGTGGCCATCTGCGGAAGTAATTAACTATATTACAAGACTTTATTTTGTCTAATTATCAACTAAACTGGGTGTTTTGCTGTATTTAAATCAAGTAGACATGCTCATTGTTGCCATTAATCTGCATGTTTTCTCCTTAGGTTCCGCTTAAGTCCAGCTGCACGTAACATTCTGGATAAACATGCACTTGATGCTAGCCAAGGCACAGCGACCGGCCCCCGAGGGATATTCACTAAAGAGTATGTGGGTGTTTTCCGCAATAAGCAATTCCATTTCTCATGATCATCTTTGCCTGGAAGTATTCAAAGAAGAACTTATTCAGTGTTAAGATTTAAAGAAAGTGTGGTGTTCTTTCAGACTTTTAATTGCCTTTGTCAGTATAAAATTATGAGGTTTGCCTACAAAATAATTGCAGCATTACTGGAAGAACACTTCTAATTTGGTAAACTGGATCTTTGGGAATGGAGACAAAAGCAGAAAATTAGAATTCAGAAGAGTTAGAGCCTCAGTTTAGATGAAATAATTATGTGATCATATTAAATTTCTAAAACATGTAGAAGTCTTTTCCCCCTCCCTCCTTAAATGACTGGTACATTTCCAAACAATATGCGCCATCTTATCCAATGCGCCACACATCTAATGTGCACATGTATGCTAAATGCCGTTAAAAATCACGGAGAATTAATGAGCAGACTATTAAGCAGAAATATAATGAGTCTGTAGTACTTAATGTATTTCTGATGTATCCGTGTAGTGGTGTGTAGGGGAACTGGATTTATGTTAATGGTAGTGAAGTAATTTGGAAAAGGAGAGTAAAGGGATTATTTTTTATTGTACAACATAAAGAATGTAATAAATGTCGCTGAATTACACGTGTAATTCAAAACTGCCCAATGGTGACTATATAAGAAAATGATGATCCGCAGGAGAAGGGTGAAAGTCAAGAAGCTGGGAGCTAACAAAGGCTCCTGATCTTTGAGATTAGGTGGCCCTTTAGAGGGTAGGTAGGTAGTGTGGCAGCAGAGGAATGAAGAAATGTCCCTATCTTCCTGTTCCTTGCTTGCATGTGTTTTTAATACATTTTTACAGAGCAGGAGTCCAAGGGTTAGAATAGCGCTGTAATCTTTCCCAAGGAGAACAAAATGATAGTATCTTGCGATACCCCAAGGAAACGGAAGCAGAATGAAAAGAGTTGGGTCTTTTCATGTTTTTATCATTTTTCTTCCTTCCCTGCCCCCAATTCTGAGCCCCATCCTACAACCACCACTACCATCAGGAAGTAAATCTTTAGAACTAGTTCTTCAAATTATTAAGTATTATAAAAGGTGTTCTAAAAGAAATCTTTAGAGCTTACATTAGCAAGGCCTGTAAAGATGCCTGTGTTGTAAATTGAGCATTATGGTGCCCTTTGGGAAAAAGTATGGCCCGGTGTCATTCATCTACAGAATGTCATCTTCTGATTTGGTTGAAAATGTAAAGGTGTCGACATAAACTGCCCCTAATTACTGTAGCACACATTTTAAAGATAGAGATGCACAGTCTTCCACACCAACTGAGGATACAAGGGGAAGAGAGACGTCAGCTCCCCTGGCCGAGGCAGTACTTCTGGCCCCTCGTATGCTGAGCGAAGCCACGAGTGTCGGGGATGCTGTTTGAACGTTGCATAGAAGCCCAGGCAGCTTCAGAGTCCACATCGTACAAAAATCCTTAGGGTTCATTTTGCTGTACATGGTCGTAATGGGGTACTCATTGGGTTGCTTACTGCAAGATCAGCTGGGCCGCAGACACCCTCTGCAGCCGGTCGACACCGTTGTATCGGTTTGCTGTGAGTCAGAGTGACTCAGGGGCAGTTGGTTTGGTTTTTAGTTAGTCACCTGTCCATGGAAGAGAAATCCATGTGACCTCTTTAAGAAAGCAAGAGCCAGTGCTCTGGTTAGAAGCAGCACACTGGGGCTGTTTGCCTGTTGACGCAGCATCTTTGGCATGGCTCCATTTTAAATGATAGTTTTTATATGCACAGCACAGCATCAGAGAACTGGTAAGTTTGGCAGGCAAGCTTACACTACGTTTTTAGTGATGTTTCTTTTCAAAATTAATTCCTGATACATGTAGTGATGAAGAAAGCCAAGATCACTGAACAATTTGTGTAGAAATTGTTGAATGAGAACCTAAGCTGTTGTGTAAACCTGCTGTAAACCTTCACAAAAAACACAATTTTTAATATATATATATATATATATATATATGTATGTATGTATGTATGTATGTATGTATGTATGTATGTATATGCCAACTCTTGGCACATTCGATAGCTTACTCTCTGAGCCGGCCTACTAGAGAAGATTGTCTTGAGTGAACGACTGGGGTGCATTTGCTTTTCTGCAGACGTGTCCAGTACTCTTGCTTCTCTTCTGATTTTGGAGCTCCTTCTTGTTGGGTGCCCTCGAGGTGATGCCAGTGCATAACGCCCCGGTGCACAGCCAAGCAAGACCCTGCCGGGCCACCCTCACTGCGGTTCCCGAGCACGAGCCGCAGTGGAAGCCATCTTGTGGAGGGCCTTCTTCGCCGCCCCGCCACTTGGAGCTTTCATTTGCACTGATCGTTAAGTGTAGTCTGGTTAATCATTTCTCTGCATTACAGAAATTAAGCGATAATTCACTTTTATACTTCATTAGTTATGTGTTTGTAAAACTCACCGTAAAAGCTTTCTCTGAATCCTTGTCTAGCACTCTCTGTTTCCTTGTTTGATTGACACATTCTTTCTTCACTGAGTTTTACATTGCCCAGATATCTTAATTATCACAAGGATGAGAGTACACTGCCTATTTCTTGATTAAATAATCAATCACAGTTACCCTAATAAGCCAAACCAGACACACTGCTGCCGAATGGATTTTGACTCATACCAACCTGTGAGACAGTGGGATTGCCCTAGTGGGTGTTTGAAGCTGAAAAATCTTCGCATGAGCAGATAGCCACATTTTTCGCCTGCAGAGTAGTGGCTTTGAGCCCCAAGCCTTTTGGATCACAGTCCAGAGCCTGAGCCACTGTGATGCAAATCTGTCTATTATGTATACATATGTATTTCTATATGTACCAGATACACACAGGGGGAGCACAAGAGCGCAGGATAACACTTCTCTTTGAACATTGTATCCCCAGCATCTGTAATACTATTTGCAGATTTTTATAGTCTCCTCAGTGGTCATTAATTTGTTTGTTTGTTTGGTTTTGACTGCTAATTGGGTAAAGTGTTGATCCCTATGTAAGTGAATCAGTTGTCTAAGGCCAAACTTACTTTGATGTTCACCTTAATTTGACTTAAAATGCAGATTAATCATACATTTTGTTAAAAGATATATGAAGGTTAAATGTGTTTGTTTATGTCACAGCAAATGGAAAGGGATGAATAATGTTGGGCTGTTACCTGTAAGGAGTCTTAAAAGCTAAATTCCTTTCTTGGGAGACAATTTGCTAAACCTACAAAAAGCCCTCATTTCTATCTGAGCTGCCATCTTTTCTTATATGGCTTAGGGGATGACTCGGGACTGTTTTAAAGTCACTTGCTTTACATACTAATGTCATCACATTTAACTGGAAATGGTGGCTTGGTTATAAATATAAGGAAATTAAAAATTCATTTCTCAGCAGAAGTTAGCTTGTTGTCCAAAGCCATAGGGAACACACCTGCTGCTCCACCACCTGGCCTTAAAATCCTGTCCCTGGATGTGGCTAAGCCATTAAGAACCGGCACTGCCTCATGTTGCGTTGTATGGCTTTGTGCGTGATAAACAAGCCGTCTTTATCAGGAGGTCCTATTTTTAGCTTTAGTTTAGAACACAGGTTCCCAAACTTATTTGGCCCACTGTCCCCTTTTCAGAAAAATATTACTCAGTTCCCCCTAGCAATTAAAATGTTTGTACTGTAGCCTATAATCCAGGATAAATTGCTTTTGCAGCCCCTTCTAAATTGTTGCATGCCACCTTCACACACACACACACCCCACTGCCCCAAAGGGGGTGGTATCACCCACATTGGGAAACACTGGTTTAGAATAATTCTGCTTCTTCATTCATTCCCTGGATTGCAGCACCCAGGGCTCCTCCAATAATATGAGAGACATTCGGGTCTTTTTTGTTTTTTGAGAAAAAAACAAAGCCATTCTAATTCTCCCTGTTGTGTTTATGTTCCGTTTATATACTCTGTGCAGGGAAATATGCTGAAGTTGCTGGTGGAGAATGCCCAGCCTTTGGAGTTGGAAAACCCTAGGTTTGGTTTGATCTCACTCCTGGCCAGCCTGCTGCTGCAAGTTCATCTTCAGAACCTTGTCCCTTTGCTCCCTGCATTCCTTCCACACCAGCTTTCCTCTCGCTCTTACAAGGTGCCGAGGTGTGTCCTCTGCCTGGAAACCCGCTTTTCACAGCAGCTCCGTCACGTCACCGCGGCCAGGGAACTCATCATGCTGAGTTAATGATGTTGTCTTGGTGTGTAATTGTCACCTGAAATGTGCTCAACAGATGCTGGGCCATGTCTTTCTCTGCTTGTTTGGAGAAGTAATAGCAAGATAGTAACTGTGCTTGAGAAATGTTAAAAATATAACTACTCCTATAATTACTGAAGAGCAATTATATTTGGTTGTTTGTTTTATATTTTTATTGAAAATACAAGTAAGTCTCAAATGTTAGTGGAAAAATTCTGTTATCTTTTGCTTCAGTTTTTTCCACAGATTTTTGAAGCCCGCCCATCCTTTCCAGTTAGTTGTCATGGGATATTAAAGTTTACCCAGAGATATAAGTTTATGAAGATATACTAATGTATGTACCCACTGTGATAGCACAGTCATTTGATGTGTACAGTAATTATATCATTCTCATAAGCTAAGATAACCTTTGTTTTACAGAGCAATGCAGAACAGTCTGTAATTAGATGGTGGCGTCCTATTCTAAGAAGCTGTACGCTGGGTTTATAACGTAGGCCCTGCTGATAGCATGTTGAACAAAATGTTAAATGCTGTGGTATTTTCTTGGCCATGAATGCTGATTTGTACTAAAGGGGTTAATAAAAGCTCTGGTCTAAGTGATAGACACAGTAAACGTGGCACTTTCTGAATGCCAAATACAAAGAATGAGGGTGTGGTTTTAGCAATGAGTGAGTCATCTACCAGCTGACACCTCTTCCCCCAGAAGAAACTAATTCCCTTTAAAATGTAATATCTATATACACAGGGCTCTCATTCTTC